ATTAAAGATAACTTGACAATTTCATTTGACCTAAGAGTCTTTCCTCAGACATGCCAGAAATTACGTGTAATCATCCTAATTAATCAATTCGTGCAACACAGCAGCAGTGTCGAATTTGGCGCATGCGCATAAGAGATATTGCGTTTTATGCGTTTTTTGAACCACAAATATTTTAGTAAAGAAAAAATTCCTTTTTACTGCAATAAAAAGTATGTTGTTTTTATGAAAAAAAAAAGATTTTCTCCACTCGTCAATATTGCAACACTTTAAACAAAACAATTTCATTTAAACAAGCTATGTCTGCCTTGTTCAAAAGATAAATTTAAAGTAAGTATTCTACTAAATGCACAAAACTTGGAAACAAAATGCATGAAATTTTATTTCTGCACAGTTAATATTAAAATCACAATCTTAAATATTTAAAGGGATTAAAAAAACAACAGCACATCCCAAAATCGATTTTTGTTGATTATAAAATCAATATTTGTGCATAAGGGACGTATTTTTACTAAAACTAATATAAAGTCAGTATAGACATGTTGGTCTAATCACTTTTTCGTCATAACCAACATTTATGAAAATATGACCGGTATGTTATCATATCTATATATATATCAGAGTACTGCCGCAAGGATTTAATTCAGGGATTTTTTTCTTTCTACCCCCCCCCCCCCCACGCAACAAAAACTTTTTTTGTTTATGTATGTACCAACTAAATACCTGAGCCCAATCCACTATTATTATTTATGACTCAGTCATTTAAAATTGTGAATGGCTGGTCAGTAACTTTTTGTCTGTCAGTAATTACTGAATAATGACTCAGTCATTTATACTGATTTATATATTTTACGCGGCAACATATTTTTCTTGATAAAATTATGAAAGATTGTTTTGGGGTCATATATATATTAGCATATATGCAATTAATTTAAATGCAATAGATTTAAAAATATGTTTACTTAATTTAAAAAAATGTTTACTTTTATTTGACATTTTTTCAAAATTTTTTATTGATTCTTATGAAAAATTTACCAAGGAACTTAAATCTAATAAGTAAAATAATTAATTTTCAGTAGAAAACACCTAATTTATCATTTTCATGTGTGGGTATTTAATAAAAAATTTACAATTTCCTATTTTTTTATTATTCTCTTCTTTTACTTTAAACATAAGGCTTAGATATCTTTATATGTTTATGTATATATATATATATATATATATATATATATATATATATATATATATATATATATATATATATATATATATATATATATATATATATATATACACTTATGTATATATATATATATATATATATATATATATATATATATATATATATATATATATATATATATATATATATATATATATATATACCTATAATATATATATATATATATATATATATATATATATATATATATATATATATATATATATACACTTATGTATATATATATATATATATATATATATATATATATATATATATATATATATATATATATATATATATATATATATATATATATATACCTATAATATATATATATATATATATATATATATATATATATATATATATATATATATATATATATATATATATATATATATATATATATATACCTATAATATATATATATATATATATATATATATATATATATATATATATATATATATATATATATATATATATATATATATATATATATGTATACCTATAATATATAAAAATACCTATAAATATAATATAAAATGCAGCACCGATAAAAAAAAACTAAACAAACTATTCAACAAGCAAAAACATGCTATAATTAATAATATCCAACGCAGACCGTCTCTCTTATTCACAATCACCATTTATTAATCTAAAAATTTTAAATATTTACCAAATAAATATATATCATCATTTAATTTTTATGTATAAAATCCATAACAATACGATGCCTAATATTTTTAAAACGCTATTTAAAAAAATACAACATAAATATCTTATACAAATAGACACGGAAACAATAATTATATTCAAGTTAAAACTCACTTTGAAGCCACTAAGTTTTCTATCACAGCTAGAGTTTCCCAACTATGGAGTATAATAATTAGAAATGACATCAAATCGCTTGCAAACATAAATATTTTTAAATCAAAACTAAAAGAAATAATTTTAATTAATCAAAACATGAAGGACTTCTTTTAGAGTTATATTTAATTGTTGGCCTTTAAAATATTGTATAGTATAATTTCATTTTATTTGGAAAGGTGCAAAAATTTGTTTTTTTAAAAACTTTTTTTTTACTTTTTATTTTCGTATTAAAATTTTAAATTCTTTTCATTATATTTTCTAATTAGGAATTCTTAATCGCAATAATTAAAAACTGTTATATATAGTTTTGAATATTTTTTCTAATTGCTTAGTATGTGTATATAGATATCTTTCGTTTTATATTTGACACCATTTATAATGACAAGATTTGATGGCTATATTATTTACGGATTATTGGGGGCTTGGCGATAAGACTATTTTGTCTTCTTCTTTCCCCCACGCAGCACCCCCCATCCCCCATGTGTATATTTTACAAATGCGAGAGTTGTAATTATTTTAAACGGCAAATTTATAATAATAATAATAATTAAAAAAAAATAGCTATAGAAGTTATAGGTATATATTTTATTCAAGAGTTGAGTTTTTTTTATAAGTTATTGAAAATGCTTTGTCTTTGATTGCTTTTTGTTAGTTGCTATATTTAACGCACGTTGGATTGCACGCTTTACTAATTGATCTTTTAGAATATTAAATTATCACGTAATAATTTTTCAAGTAGATTATCAAGTTTAATTTTCTCTATCTCGTTCTTCTAGGTGCTCTAAAGTAGCACCTAAAGTAGCTCTAAAGTAGCTGGTTCTTCTAGGTGTTTTAAAGTAGCACCTAAAATAGGTGCTACTTTAGGTTCTTTTTCTCATCTTAATTAAAACTCTTTACTGTACTGTTAAACTATACAAACTTTAACTTTCCATTAAACTTTCCGTTTAAACTTTTTATATTGTTTTGAACTATTTAAAATGTATGATAGCTTTCCCGCTCTCTTAACTATGAAAAAAAATTAATTTAAAATTAGCTTTACTGGTTTTTAATACAGTAAAATGTAACAAAATATAATCTAAAGTTTCTATGTTATTTATTAGTTAAAGTTTGTAAATTTATTCAAGTAATTAAATTATCAAAACAATTTTGTAAAAGCATATTTTATTTAGTGTTGTTAAATTTTAATTAGTTATAATTTATTCAGTGTAGCAGAAAATCCAAATTAGAATCTTGACTTGAGCTAATTTTTAAATAAATTCTCAAATTTAAAAAATCAACAGCACAACTAAGTAACCTCAATAAGATAATAAATACTAAAAAGTTATTAAAATTATGTTCATTCAGCAACTTTTGAGTTCTGGCTGATCTATATAAGTAAATAAATTTGTCCTCACATATTCTTTCATAATCTATAGTTCAACCAATACTACTTTCTTAAACTTTGTTATCATCAATTCTTTATTTTTAACATAGTTGGTTTTATTTCAAGGTTTGATTTGTCACATTTTTGATAATAAAGGCTTACCTTCATCCTGCGTTCTAATGTAAGAACCCTAAACAAGTGAATAAGTATAAGCTAAATCTGAAATAATAGTTAACAAAAAAGGTGTAGAATTATCTAGGACTTCTTTTTCTTTTTTTTTTTAATGTTTGCAATATATTTGTTTATATATATATATATATATATATATATATATATATATATATATATATATATATATATATATATATATATATACATATATATATATATATATATATATATATATATATATATATATATATATATATATATATATATATATATATATATATATATATATATATATATATATATATATATATATATATATATATTAGTTTTTTTTACCAACAAGGCTGCTTGCTACCACTATTGGAGTTGGAATTTACTAAAAGAGAAAATATGAAGTTTTGAAAGATTGCAAGTTATATGAATCAGAAAAGACTTGAAAGATTGCAAGTTATATGAATCAGAAAATAAGATAAAGGAACCAAATTCCAAAGAACTGTTTAAAGAAAAAAGCCAGACAAATGAGAATTTTAGGATCACTTGGGAACAGTAACAGAAAAAGGATGAGACTTAATTGAATGACGAGTAACATGGGAATGAGTTTTAGTTGATGGCACAAGAAATGCTAGCTATTTAGAGCAGTGTCCATTATTGTATTTGTAGAAAAGAGAAGGAGAAGCAACATTATGAAAATGTAATAATGGTTGGCGGTTAACTGCAAGAGCAGGTCCAACTATGTTTACAATGCATTTTTGCACCTTGTCTAAAAGGGAATAGTCATCGGTAGAAAATCTGCCCTAGATATGGCAACATTATTCCATACAAGGACAGATTTAAGGTTTATAGAGATAAAGAATAGAATTAAGAGAAAAAAAGTGTTAAACATGATAAAGAGATACAATCTTAGCAGCTGCTAATTTTGCAGTCGGTTACAAACTTTTTATTTTCTACCTTAAAAGTTCTTGTTTTTTTCCAAATAATATTTTCTTCGCTAAAGGTTTTATGAAATGCTAATGCAAATTAAGTAGGTTTATTTCATTAATGCTATTCTGATGTTGATGCATCCACGTATTTACCTGATGTTTTAACAAGCTTCAACTTTAGTTTTACAAATCTATTTTATTGTTTCACTTTTATTTTATTGTTACACAAAATTTTTAATCTCTTTATCTGTTTGTATATGCTTTTTTGTAAGTTATACAGTATTTATGACATTTATTATTTATTTTTATAACAACCACTTAGTTTTTTTGTTCCGAACAACATACTGCCAAATGTACTGCATACTTACAGAAAGGCAGAACAAATACAACTTATTGTTTTAACTGTATTAACCTTTATATTATTTTATTATTACTTTTGGATTGAAATATTAAAATTTTAAATTTTATTTTAGATTAGAAAAAAATGCGTAACTTGGTACTTTTAGATTCCGTTCATTATAATGTAGGTGTCATTGGTAGTCATAAATTGACTTATGATTCTTTAAATGAAGTAGTTTATTTTGCAACAGTTACCAGTGTTTTTGGTTTTTCACCTAAAGAAAAGCAAGTATGATTTAAAAATTTAAATTTTAAAAAGATATTTTCATATTTTAAGTATTTAGTTGTTTGATTGAAAATTATTTTTTTAAACCTAGTATACCTAATATTGATTTTAATTTAGGTTGTGATTATTTAGTTTTAATTGTATACAAAATGAATTTTCAAAAAAAAGTTCCAGATCCATCGTTATGGCGATTTTGTTAACCAAACTTTTAAAATAATAGGCAATCATAGTAAGCAGTCAACTAAAACAACCAACATTTGCTTACAATCGTTTTTAAGCTAATAATTTATTCTAATATTAATGTAATAACTAACTTGGTGAGTTGAGAAAAAAAAAAAAAAATTTAAGCAAAAATAAAACATTGAGTAATTAATCTGATGACAGTGAGTTTCTTTTTTAATCTGATGATAGCAAGTTTTTTTTGTAATCTGAATGCAATAATAATTTTTTAAATATAAAAAAAATATAAAAAATAAAATATAAAAAAAAGTTAAATTTAGAAACAAAAAAACAAAACAAATAACAATATATACACATATCAAAGCTATAAATACACACATCAATAAATACACACATCAAAGCTAGTACTATTGAAATATAGGAAAGAATATTTTCAGTATTGTCTTTTTGAAAATTTATTCTAAATTGTAATTTTTTTTTATAATAGTTGAAACTATTTTATTAAATATAAATCAAAAATTTTTTTCCAAAATTTTGAAAGTCAAAATATTTGGTTATTGGTAATGAAATATTAAGACAAATTTTAAGAATCACTTGCTGTTGGCTTTAAAGTTCATTAATGTATTCAGTGCCATACCCAGAGTTTAAGAGCCATTATCTGAGAAATATAGGCAAAATTGGCAAAGTCTGGAAGTGATGTCTTTAAAATCTCTTCATTTTCAGATGTTTTATAGAACACAATGAAATTAGGCCACAGTTAAATTTTTTTTCAAAAACTCCCATTATTTGCAGAGATATCAGGTGCCGAAATTCGGCACATTTTATAAAAATATTGGTGCATGGAATGGAATTACTACTTTGATTCAATTTTAGCAATATGAATTTGAGAAACTCATTTATTTTTCTTATTTCTACTACTCCGGGTGGATTTCTCTGCTTAAAATAAAAATTCAAAATGTTTACACTTTTTGTTGTCTAGAAATCACAGTTCAAAACCGCTAAATTTGAAATTTTACCCATACTTTGACCATTTATATCTCCTAAGGCCATTACTTGCACATAATTTACTTAACTGTTTTTGAAAGCCAATAAGGTATACATTGAATTTATAGAAAAAAAATTATGAGTATGCCAGAGCCTGGGAAGGAGTAAGCTTCCAAAAATGAATTTTCGCGGTTAATGTGCTTTGTTAGATTACAAATAACAATTGTGGCCTTAGGTCTGCAATGAAATGTATAAGTTATTTCGTTTCCTTATACATGCATCTTCCAATATCTGAAGAAAAATTCATGTGCTCAAGCGATAAAAAGCCTAAAGACTTCCTAGAAATAGTCTAATTTTGCCACATTCTTAACCAACAAAATACCCTAGCAACAACATAAATATGCTTAGCAATGGCTACTTTAATTCTTTAATAATTAGTACTCTAATTAAAAATAAATAAAAAATACTTTTTTATAACAAAACAGTATAAGAGCGCTTGATAAAAGTTATTTTCTAAGCTTCTTTAATGAGAAAAAGATCCAAACATCAAACACTTTATAGTGTTTATATCATTGTTAAAACAATTATGTAAATTTCTAATAAATGTTTTTTCAAATATAGTTTTTTTAAGAAAGCAAACCAAATAAAGTTTTAAAGAAGTTTATTAATGGTCAATCTGAATTTCTATGTTTTTCATATCGTCTATTGAGAGAGAATAGTCCCCTCTTTGATTAGTTGGTGTTGGTGCATCAATCCTACAAATAACGTCAAGATATAAATATTGGAGAATATTTTCCTTGGTTGGCCACTTGAAACAGTTATTTCCAGGTGTAGTAGAATATTCCATACAAGAAACATGAACATTGTCACCATTGACCTACTGGGTTAAGTTAAAAGTAAAATAACGTCTAATCATTGGTGCTTTCTGAATATTTCTTACATTTAAATGTTGTGGTTAATAAATTAATAATTATATAACTTAATAAAAAAGATCTTATACTCAAAAGTTAGATATTATGATGTTATAACGTCTTACACTTAGAATTATTGCAGGATACCACTGCATATTATATTCAATAACAACCCAATCACCAATTTGAAAATCATCTGCTAACTCCTTTGCTATGAGCTTAATATCATTGTTTAAATCAACATCTTTATTTTGACTTGTATGTCTCCCATCATCAGTCAGATCAATCATGTCATCAGTTAGATTAGCATCTTCACAAAAAATTGTAACCAGCTTTCTTTCTGTTATTGTTTACTCTATCTAAAAAAATGTACTTGAAGCATGAAGGTAATTTCAAAATATTTATCTTAAAACTCAAGAAAAGAATAAAGTTACATTTTATATCATTCATACTTTGGGTATTCGTAAATATAGAAGTAAATTTACTCGCCTAGAGAATAATGATCGAATTTGTTGAGTTGTCACATATTCATTTGGCTTTAACGTGAAGTTTTCAATCCCTTTAATGACAGATTGGGATGACGGCAGATAATCATAAGAATTTAAGTTTGAAATTTTCATTTTGTTGATATAAGATAGTTTTGCTCTGTCTACCATAGATTTCTTCACAGATTGAAAATTGTGGTTTTCTGATAGCATATGTTCTTCTAATGATTCATTGTCAAAAAATGAATCAGTGCAACCAAATTGTGTACAAAACTTTAAAGTGTCAACTCTTTTATTAACACGTGGTTTTTTGGAAATTGTTTGGGACAGTATAAATTTTGTCGAACTAAAGAGCTTAACAATTTCAACTGAAGTATGGAATGTCACATTTGTATAGTTCCATTTTTTACCTTTACCAATTCGGAAGTATCTCCACATTATCATGTGATCAGGGAAAAACTGAAAAGAATTATAACTGTTTATGTTGGGAATCAGATTTGATCCTGATAATAGAGGCTTTGGAATCTATTATAACTACAGCAACATCAGCGTTTTGAATTCCTTTACCATTATGAAGTGCCTCATAAAGATCTTCTGCAGTCAATAAATTGTTTCCTGCGTCAACAAAACTCCTAATGACACATTTTGCTCCTGCTGACTCTCTATCACATTGATCTTTTCCACGTGAAGGCTTGTTGTAATCATACCTTTTAAGGAAGAATTGTTTTGCTTTACAAACATTGTAAAAGGCTTCTAAGTAGAAGTTTCCATGATAAGATGATGCATTATCTGACTTAGCATAAAGATTTTTTAAATAAGGAAAATCATTTTTAACTTTGGCCAAAACAACATCAGCGAGACAGAGTACATCAACAAGGCTTTGCTCACATCTATATACAGCAGTAAAATATACTTTTTTTTTCATTCGACCATTTTCATGGAAGAAGAAGACATCAACATGTAGAGTCATTCCTTTTTTCCCAAAATATTCTTTTTTTCCTTCACAGAATTTAGCGGGCAATATTTTTTGACAAAAGTCTTTTAGCCAAAATCTTGTTTCCTCATCAAGTTGCTCAAAAGCCATTATTTTGTCCATTTTTTGCTGTGCATCACAAATTTGATGTTTCATATAGACTTCAACATCTTCTATAGCCACAATTAAATCATATAGTAGATCTTTATCTTTACTTTGTATAACTAACTCACGAACCTGATTGATTACTGAAATGAGGTCAGTACAGTCAATGCATTGTTCATTGTCAGCGGTTATGTTTGTATGGTTTAAGTCCGGATCTATATCTAAAAGGGCAAATGAAGTTGAGTGGTTATGCAAAGTTGAATTTTCACTACTTTTGGAAGGATAATTACTCTTCAGATACCTTTTACTTTTTTCAAGAAGCTTAGTAACATTTTTATACTTCCACTTCTCAGAATTGACAGAATTGACAGAATTGGCAATTAATGTTTGGAAACCGTTCATGCCAGCTGCATGACCAGCTAAAGACTTCCTTTGAGAAGGTTTTATTCCACATAGAATTCTCCATAAAGAACTATCTGACATAGGGATATAATTAGTTTCTAGACAAATTTCTTTATAAAATGTGATTGTATGGCTAAACTTCATCTTCAAAATGACATTAGCCACTTTTTGTTTCTCTCCATTGTCAAACTTTATTTTATTTATACCATATGCTACATCTTGAAGCAGACTTCGAGAAAATAAAAATTCTAAAAAATATTCAATTTTTTCTTGAGGCACTCGGCATATTTTTACTTTACCCTTATTGGTATGGAAAGTCCAATGTTTTCTTTCTGCAACTTGTGTGCTTTTTCTATTTGATGTTTTTTGCAATCAAAGACTTTCATTAGTGTCTCTTTAGTGTACTTATTATGATTAACAACTGAGAGCAAAAGAATTTTCCTAAAGAATCGCTTTCTTGGAACATCTTAACTTGTACAATTAGGTCTTCTGGAACCATTTCAGTTGCAACATTTTCATCTTCACTATTTAATACTTGGGTTATAAGTGCTTCTGATTGACCAGGTGCAATTGCTTCAGCAAATATCTTCTTGTGCTGCACTTTACATTTCTCAAAATTTTTTTTAACTTTCTGTTTAGTTCCTTCTATTCGCTTTTGCGTTATGTGAAAAGACAGTGGACTTACTCCTAGTGCTTCACACAAAGAACTAGCTTTTATTTTTGATTCTTCGATAGTCTTATCTAAAATGATTGCTAAATCTGGAACATAAATTTTATCAACAGAAGAACTAGACTTTACTGTTAGAATTGGTTCTATCATGTCAATAATATTATTTATAGAAATAGTTTTTAGGTGCTTGAAGCAAAATACGGCTCCAATAGGTAGTGATGAATTACTTTTATTATAAGCAGCAAGGGTTTTCAAAGGTATGGATCTAATTTTTGGCGCTTTTTTACCAATTT